TACCGGACAGCCCTCCGCAACGCGGGGTTTCCCAGCACATTTTAGATCATCCCGCAGTCAGGGGTGATTTCAGCACAGCTCCATCACTATTCAAAGTGTGTGTTTTCTGTAGCTCAAATTCAGCGAAACCCTAAAGAGATCTTCACTGGATCCGAGTTACTTCCCTCAGTTTGTTGTCTCAAGCCCTGATACTACCAGTAAAGTAGTGCCAGTACCTACCAGGTACTAAATCCCTGCATCCCACTGGGTTTTCATACATGTAGGTAATAAGCATTTTCCAGCTGTTTTCAGTTTGCTGATCCCTGTCTGCTGGTGGAAATACAGATCCCAAGAGCGAACAGAAGCCTCCTGACAGAAACATTTGCTCCATTATCTTGCCAAGGCCCCGTGGAAGTGACTGAACCCCACGGTGAAAAATCATTAAGTTGTGCATAAGTTTAAAACTAAGTTAGTTGTAGTGGCCAGGGATCCAATACAACGTGTCGCACAAGGCAGAGAACAAATGGTATTTCTTCATTACAAATAAGTTTAAAGACACAAATGAAGGATGCCGGTGAGCAGTGACAGGACCCAGGGAATGGCTGGAGCTGTGCCAGGGCAGGGTCAGGCTGGATCTCAGGAAAAGGTTCTTCCCCCAGAGGCTGGTTGGGCACTGCCCAGGCTCCCCAGGGCAGTGGGCACGGCACCAAGGCTGCCAGAGCTCAAGGAGGGTTTGGACAATGCTCTGAGGGCCAGGGTGGGATTGTTGGGGTGTCTGTGCAGGGTCAGGAGTTGGATTGGATGATCCTTGTGGGTCCCTTCCAGCTCAGCATATTCCATGATTCTATGACTCTCTCTGCCTTCCCTCATGGCCACCCATCTGAATGGTATCCTGCTATTCCAGTTATGCTTCTTTGACCCCTATGACAAAACCAGCTGTTTGATGTTACATTTCCACTGTAACTCCCCCTTATCGTCAACCAGCAAGTACATGGTAACAGTGAAACCACTGTTCCCTCTTAAAGCAAGAACTAATCACAAGTGTGGGCAGACTGGTTCCACAAGATAGCAAAGACTGGAATATTTGCTCGAGGATCCTGTTCAGAATGCATCTTTTTCTAACTGAGAAAGCATAGGATCATAGACTCTCCTGAGTTGGAAGGGACCCACAAGGATCACTAGTCCAACTCCTGGCCCTGCACAGACACCCCAACAATCCCACCCCATCCCTGAGAGCGTTGACCAAATGCTCCTTGAGCTCTGGCAGGTTTGGGGCTGTGAAAAAGCCTCACTGTCCCATGCTCTCTCACATTTTAACACCATTTTAATGCAAAATGCAAATTACTTTTCTCTTTACTTCCTTGAATAAAGTGCAAATATCCTGTCCTGCGATGGAATGAGGGACTGGATTCCTGCAGGCTGTCAGGCACAACAGCCCCAATTCCATACAGCCCTATTTCCTGGCAGGTTATCAAACTACTTAAAATCACAAATGTATGAGCTTTCTGAATATAGTGACTGGAGTTTATGAAGGTACAGTGCAATAAGTCCTTTTGGCCTACCTAATCTTCAGAGCACTTAGCTGGAGAAAGATAAATATTTCGAGTACAGTCATCTCTTCTGGCTGAGGCTCTGGAAACAGGAATGCACTTATGAGAAAGACATTTTGAGAGAGAACTGATTTTTGCCTGTAAGATTTTTCCTATTTGTTGAATAACAGTTGTGTTTTTCAAAAGAATTTCCTGTCTTTTCTTCCTGTAACATTTCAGAATGTTTTGCAGTCTACCCTAGAAATAGCCTATTTAAGCTCCATTCCCCATCCTCCTCCACTTGATGGACTGCTGTGAGTGCAATAAACAGAGACAGAGCAGCCAAAATCCCTCTGACTGGTGGAACTTCACTCATTCCAGGAGTCTCCAACTCAAATGTCTTAAGCAAACCTCACAAAAACCCGCTGCTCCTTTGCTACTTCTATTGACACGTAATATGTGTAGTACAAACCTTTTTAAAAATTGCATTTTCTGAATTTGCACTGAAAAGATTAACACAGAATATCTCATTAATAAATATTTGCACCAATCACACCTGCACTGTGAGAGTATGGACTAACAGTGCTCACAAACACAACCAGGGTTCAGAGCACAGAAGCTGTGCTGTATCATCATGAGATGAATTATTGCCATTTTTAACAGCAAGGTAATTTACTTCTTGTGTTTGTTCTCCTGTTTTCTCAATTTATAAAGTGCAACTCCTGCTACAACAGAGATGAAAGGAGCTTGTTGCAGAATAGCCTCAATTTGGAAGCAATTGTAGGTGGCCTGAAATGCCACTGCAGGCAGCCCAGTGCTGAGCCCACAGCCTGTTTTGGTGCTGCCGAGACTCTCCTGGGCCCTGTTCACTGCCCTGAAGATGAAAAGCCTGTGGTGTTTCACAGGTAGGACTGGCCCTGATGTTCCTCTAATGACCACCATGCTCCAAAATATGAAATTCATTTTATTCTCTTCAGTACCTGCTGGTATTAGCATCGGGTGATGGCTTTAGAGCCTGACTTAGACTAAGACCTACATTAGGTTTAGGGCTGTGTTTTCATACCAAAGCTCAGGACAGCTCAGCTGCTGAGATTCTTTCAGCCCAGTGTGGTCACGAGGTGTTTGCGCAGCACCTGCACATACTTGTACTTTAGACTCTGTATTTTGGGGAGGTGAATGTGTTTGTGCCATGCTTGAAATGGAGACTTGTTATTTTCAATGACAGGTAGTAATTTCCATCAGTGACGAAATCATGTGTCACCTCAAACAAACACTGGCAATGCCACCCTTCCCTCTTCGAAAAGCTCTGCAAAAACAAGTCACTCATACTCCACTTACACTTAATATTAGTGAGGTGGAAGGGGCTGCTTTAGAGAGGAAATTAACTGCAAAGTAAATTCACTGTATGGAGAGGAAAGACTATTGAGTTTTAAAATACTGCTTTGTTTTCACTCCACTTTGCAAGAAGTTTCTGTTCCCTGTGGATTTCAAAGGCAGCTTTTGGCCTGTGGGTTCTACACCCCATGTTGTGATCTTGGCCTCTCTTGAAAGCTGCAGAAAAGACAGGGTGAGTTTGGGAACGGGGTGAAGCCTCCTGCTGGAACCTTTAGTTCCCTGCGAAAAGTTGAAGACCAAGCACGATCCTGAGTGAACTCCTGCAGTACTCTACTCATGCTTTACACAGAATGAGTTTAGACCATGGAAACCACATGTAGTCCACCCTGGAGTTCCACGGGACAGCTCGTTTGCAGCTGGAAACACGAGCATGACACCTGCAGCTCTCCACAGCTGAATGAAAGTGGAGGCATAGTAACCCATTTGCTAAGACATCAATTCAGTGGCTTGTGCTATGGGAGTTTCGTGGTTAATTTGTGAAATAAAAGTACATTTTTCCACCTGCAAGGTACCTGAGACAGCAGCAAGCTTACCTGTACCAGGTACAGTTACCCTGTGGGAGCTGAGGCATTATTCCCCTTTTGGCACTGGCCATGGAAATATCAGCTTCTCCACCTGGAATACGGCCTCGGGCTTGTGGCTCCACTGCCCTGCTCCCCCAGGCACAGGGGTGATACCTGCCTTTGGAGCACATCATCTACAGAATCAAGTGCCTGAAGAAAGCTGGAGAGGGAATTTTGATGAGGTGACAGGACAAGGGGGAATGGCTTCCCACTGCCAGAGGGCTGGGCTAGATGGGATATTGGGAAAAAATTCCTCCCTGTGAGGGTGGGGAGGCCCTGGCACAGGTTGCCCAGAGAAGCTGTGGCTGCCCCATCCCTGGAAGTGTCCAAGGCCGGGTTGGACGGGGCTTGGAGCAACCTGGGCTGGTGGAAGGTGTCCCTGCCCGTGGCAGGGGGTGGAACGAGGTAGGCTTTAAGGTTCCTTCCAACCCAAACCATCCCATAATTCTAAGATTTGCTTTTTTTAATCACGTATTTGACTCAGACATTTACTGAAAGAGAAAAATCCCAGGTTTGTAAACTACTGCTCATTTTCATGCTAACTCTGTCAATGTGTACCACAGGATCTAGCCACTGAAGTTACAGTAGGAAACCCCATATCTGCCCAAACCACCCCCTTGGTGTAGTTCTTTTTCCCCTCTGGAAAATAGACAGTATCCTAATCCTCCGAACGAGGACGATGGAACTGCAGTGGCTGTAAGGGCCGTATGTGCTGTGTTGTGTGTGAGACACAGGAGTGTCAGAGGTGGTGGGGACAAAGAGCCAGACCCTCGGAGTGCTGTCCCGGTCTGTCTCCCTCAGGGGTCTCTGTCCCGGTCCATGTCCCTCAGGGGTCTCTGTCCCGGTCCATGTCCCTCAGGGGTCTCTATCCCGGACCATCTCCCTCAGGGGTCTCTGTCCCGGTCCATGTCCCTCAGGGGTCTCTATCCCGGACCATCTCCCTCAGGGGTCTCTGTCCCGGTCCATGTCCCTCAGGGGTCTCTATCCCGGACCATCTCCCTCAGGGGTCTCTGTCCCGGTCCATGTCCCTCAGGGGTCTCTATCCCAGACCATCTCCCTCAGGGGTCTCTGTCCCGGTCCATGTCCCTCAGGGGTCTCTGTCCCGGTCCGTGTCCCTCAGGGGTCTCTGTCCCGGTCCATGTCCCTCAGGGATCTCTGTCCCGGTCCATGTCCCTCAGGGATCTCTGTCCCGGACCGTGTCCCTCAGGGGTCTCTGTCCCGGTCCATGTCCCTCAGGGATCTCTGTCCCGGTCCGTGTCCCTCAGGGGTCTCTATCCCGGACCATGTCCCTCAGGGGTCTCTGTCCCGGACCGTGTCCCTCAGGGGTCTCTCTATCCCGGACCATCTCCCTCAGGGATCTCTGTCCCGGTCCATGTCCCTCAGGGGTCTCTGTCCCGGACCGTGTCCCTCAGGGGTCTCCCTATCCCGGACCATCTCCCTCAGGGATCAATGTCCCGACCCTGCACCGACCCCCGCCCGTTCCCGCCGCCCGCCAGGGGGCGCTGCCGGCGCCGCCCGCCGAGCGCCCGCCAAGATGGCGGCGTGTGGGGCGGCGGGGGCCGCGGGCGGGGGGCCCGGGCGGGCGGCGGGGCCGGCGGAGGCCGGGCCTGGCCTGGCTCCGGGCCGGGGGTCGGGCCGGGCGGGGGTCGGTGCGGTCTTGGCGCTGGCGGTGCTCGGCTGGCTGCAGGTGGCCCGCGGCGCCGGGTGAGTGTCCGGGCGCCGCCTGCCCCGGGGCGGGGCCTTCCCCGGCTCCCGAGGCCGGGCTGGTGGTGCGGTGCTGAGCGGGACAGACCCCCCGAACGGCGGTGATCACCCCGGGGACACGGGGGAAGCACGGTCGGGGTGTCAGCGGGGCCGTGCCCCCCCCGAGCCGCTCCCGTCCCCCCCGCTCGCAGCTTTGGCAGCCGCGTGTTCTCGTTGCAGGAGCCCCCCCGGCGACCCCGCGCTCCAGCCCTACTCCCCGGGCCGGCACGGCCCCCGGCACGGCCACCGGCACGTCCGGGACTGCCAGCCCCGCAGGTACGGCAATGTCACACACGAGGCGTGGCCCGGCGACAACAGCACGGCCGGCCCGGCGGCCGCCACCAGGACGTTCGTCTCGTACTTCCCCCCCGAGGGCAGCGGCCGCAAGGTGCTCTACGGGCACTTCACGTTCGTGAGGAACCCCCTGCGGACCCTCTCGGTGCTGGAGCCGGGCGGCGCCGGCGGCTGCCGGGAGCAGCGCAGAGCCACCGTGCAGGAGACAGCCCAGCTCGGGAACTGTCTGGTGGCCCAGAACGGCGGGTACTTCAACATGGAAACCGGAGAGTGCCTGGGGAACGTTGTGAGCGATGGGAAGCTGGTGAGGAACTCTGGAGGGCTACAGAACGCTCAGTTTGGCATCCGGAAGGATGGCACCATGGTGTTCGGGTAAGAGCTGGGGCTGTGTGGAGAGCGCTCTCCACGCTGAAGGCTTTTGGGCATCACTGGGGCATGAAGTTCATCCCAGGCACTGCCTCCTTGGCCTCTCCCAGCTGCAGTAGAAGCACACTTTGAATGCTGAAGTTAGAGATGTTTTACCTGTACCCCATGCAGCTATCTCTCCTAGAATGAAAGGAAGCTGGATAAGTTACTGTGGTGATCTCTAACTGGTTAGGTTCCAGTGTCTCCTCTCCCAACATACAGCAAGGACACTTGATGGTGATTGAAGTGGGGGTGAACTCTGTCCTCCCCAAGAGAAGAGACAGAGTGGACTCTGAGTCTGCTCTGGCTGCAGCACAGAAAGGCTGGGCTTGGAAAGAACCTCAGGAGGAGCCTCATCCAGCACAGGTTGGCTGGAGCAGGCTGCTCAGGCCATGTCCAGTTGGGTTTTGAACATCTCTGAGGATGGAGACTCCACATCCTCTCTGGGCAAATCTGTTTTCTGAACACTTCAGGGATGGTGACTCCACCACTGCCCTGAGCAGCTGTGCCAGGGCCTGACCACCCTTTTAATGAAGTTTTCCCAATATCCAATATAAACCTCCCCTGGCACAACTTGAGGCCATTCTCTCTCATCCTGTCCCTTGTTCCCTGGGAGCAGAGCCCGACCCCCCCCGGCTCCCCCCTCCTGTCAGGGAGTTGCAGAGCCAGAAGGTCCCCCCTGAGCCTCCTTTTCTCCAGGCTGAGCCCCCCCAGCTCCCTCAGCCCCTCCTGCTGCTCCAGCCCCTTCCCCAGCTCCATTCCCTTCCCTGGACACACTCCAGTCCCTCAGTGTCTGTCCTGTCTGAGGGTCCCAGAACTGCCCCCAGGGCTGGAGGTGCCTCAGCAGTGCCAGCACAGGGATGGGCACTGCCCTGGGCCTGCTGGTTCAGCCACACTGTGGCTGGTACAAGGTAGGTGCCAGTGGCTTTATTGCCCACCTTGGTGTGTGACACTCCCCAAGCAGCTGGAGACAGAACCCTCAGATGAGGAATAGCTGGCAAAGGAACTGTAGTGCTCCCTGGAATGAAAGGCCCCAGGAGCTGCAGCAAGCCTAAAGGGCCCAGAAGGGCTCCCGGGGTCCTTCTGATGGTCTCAGAAGATGGAGCAGCAGCCTGGAAGCTGCTGCAGCTGCTGGCTGCATTCCCCACCCTTCTGGCAGCTCCCACCCAGGCCTCAGGGAGGGTCCCTGCAAAGCCAAACTGGCTGTGCCAAGCCAGGGCTTTATCCTGCAGCTGTTCTCTGAGAGCCCTGAGCACCAAGGCCTTCACTGCTGTGGCACAGGGGCTGCCTGAGGTGGTGACATGTCTTTAGTGAGGGGGCTTCTGCTGAGGGGACCAACAGCAACTGCAAGGTCGCTGTTGGTCCTTAACCTCAGCTCTGCCCTGCTCTCTCCTGCTCTGGCAGAGTGTCCCTGTTAGTGGTGCTCAGTGGCTTTGTGGCTCCCAAACCATGACCCTAGAAATAGTTTGAGTGTAAATAATTTGGGCTGTCAGGGCAGTGGGGAAAGTAATTCACCCTTTAGTCTTTCACTGCATCATGACCAGCAGGATGGAGCACAGGGCACACTGTTACCCCCACCCTGCAGAGCTGCTGCCCCTTTCTGGGCTGATGGGGGTTTTCAGGCTTTAAAATGCCCAAGCTGTTGTGTGGTTTGATCCATTTTCAGCCGTGTTCATGTTCTCTTTGTGTTCCCTTCTCATGGGGAGAGGGAGTTCTTTTTGCGTGTTTTTCATTCAGGTATTTGCAATTACACTTTTTTACAAAGCAAAAAGCTTGGATACTAAACAATTAAAAGTTGAGCATCCAGTTCCCACAGGACATCAAAAGAGTCAGTTTTAAGCCCAAAAGCACAGGCAGAGCTTACAGCCAGAGCTCAGCTGTCCAGCTGCAGCCCCTGCTCCTGTCTCTCCTGTTACAAACATCACCCAGCACCAGGCTCTGGTGAGGCAGGTGTTACTCATCACCCTGATCCTTGAGAGAGGAATATCCCTTGGGAAGCACCCCATGGTGACACACAACACCCGAGCGTGGAAGTGGCAGCGGGACAGTGCTTTTACTGCCTGGCTGGTCGGTGACAGGATTTGCTGTCTGGAGGAGCAGAGGGAGCTCTTCCCAGATGGAGGGGAGCAGGGAGCACCCAGCTGAGTCTTCTTCTCCGTGCAGCTGCAGGAGGCTGGATGCTGTAGCTCCAAATCCTCTCCAAAGCTGTTTGGTGTCACAGTTGTGGAGGATGGAAGCTGACAGGCAGCAAGATGTTACAGCTGCTTCCACAGATCCCTGAGTCTTTGGCAGTGGCTCTGGCCTTGTGTTCTGCCAGATGCTTTCTGCCCTTGTTATCCTGGCTCAGGTCCACTGGCTGCATTGCTGGCAGGAGTTGTTTCAGGCACAGTGGCCTGGGACCGTCATGAGCTGTGGGTTTGTGCAGAAGAGCAGAGAACAGAGGCCACTTTGGCTGCTAAAGTGATGTTTCACACTTCTTGGCCTCTGGTTTTGGATGTATCTACCCTTCATTCCAACACCTTCTCCCCCTCTCCCTGCTGCTGGCAACAGGAGAGGCTTTTACATGACACTGCTGTGAGCATGGGTAACCCCTCCTGCTCTCTCTTTCCTAGTTACCTGTCTGAGGAGGATGTCTTGGATCAAACAAACCCTTTTGTGCAGCTTGTGAGTGGGGTGGTTTGGCTCCTCAGAGATGGAGAAGTTTACATCAATGAGAGCCGGGACGCCGAGTGTGGGGACACTCAAACCACAGGTAAACCCTGGGGAGCCTGGCCATGGACTGTCCTTCCCACGGGGCTCTTGGAAGGAGGGGTACTTTCATGGAATCATGGAATGGTTTGGGTTGGAAGAGACCTTAGAGACCATCTTGTTCCAGCCTCCCTTCCAATATGCTGGGATTCTCCAAGCCCCGTCCAACCTGGCCTTGGACACTTCCAGGGATGGGGCAGCCACAGCTTCTCTGGGCAACCTGTGCCAGGGCCTCCCCACCCTCACAGGGAAGAATTTCTTCCTAATATCCAATCTAACCTGTGAAGAGAAACTCAGAAAAGTTGCCTCTTACAGGAGTTTAAAACTGAGGGCTGGTGAATCCCTTGCTTTGTGCCAGACAAAAACTTAATCAAGAGCACTTCTCTGGGGCTTGGATGAACAGGAGGAGCCCAGGCTGTGCTCTCACTGGTTCAGTTCAGATGAGCCCCTTGCTGGGAGCTGTTTTGCAGACAGAGGTGTGTGACCAGCCCATTCTGGCCCAGCTGGGGTGTGAATTGTTCCATCTCCTGCACAGGCACCTTCGACAAGTTCATCAACGTGATCTCAGCCAGGACTGCGGTGGGACACGACCGCCAGGGCCGGCTGGTCCTGGTCCATGTGGATGGACAGACAGAATCCAGGGGGTAAGGGCTTGGGGAAGGTCTGAAATGCCTGAACTGGAGCGACTCTGCAGCTGCCAGGGACATGTTTTAAGGCAGAGACTCACAGAGCTCAAGGGAGCCAGGGAGGGCTCACACAGGCCCCAGACAGCGAGTCAAGGGGGCTGGGATGGGAGAGCTGCTCCTTCCACCGAGGAGAGGGACAGACTTCTACCACAGCAGCTTCATTGAAGTCAATCAACGAATCACCTTTGCTTTGCAGGGTCAACTTGTGGGAAATGGCAGAATTCCTGAAGCAGCAGGGAGTCATCAATGCCATCAACCTGGATGGTGGAGGCTCTGCCACGCTGGTCTTGAACGGGACCCTCGCCAACTACCCCTCTGAGCACTGGTAGGTGCTGGTGGCTCGTTCCCAGGGCTGCACGGGTGGCCCTGCAGCTCCTGTTGGGATGCAGAGCCCAGTCCTGCCTCCAGTTCAACCAGGAGGGCACAGCAAAGGCAGGTGACAGGATCTGGGGGAGAGAGAGGCTCTAAAGTTTTAAGCAATTGAGTGACTCCATATTTTTTCCACTCAGTCATCCAGGATTAAAGCTGAGCTGGTTTCAGACAGGCAGCAAAGCTGTGACTGAGTGGCCTGATGTGGGAATCGGATAAGGCAGCAGCTCTTAGACTGGAGATCCAGAGCTGCACTTTCATGGGAATTAGCAGAGATCTGTCAGCAGCTTATGGAAGAGAACCACTACCTTGGAGACCCTGCCGTACCTCAGGGCAGAACCTAAAGAACATTTTACTTTAAATTCAGCTTTTTAGTCATCTCTGACTGTAAACATGGAGGGATTTAACACTCAGTTACCATAACTGCAATGATATAATTTATATCAAAACAAATAACATTCAGGGAAGGCGTGCTGGATGCCAAAACTGGGGAAGCTGAGACTGCTTAAAGGGAGATTTTGTTTGTTGCTTCTGTAAATCCATGTTTGAAATTACTCCTATCCAATGGGGATTTAATGGTTAGTTAAAACACCAGCTCAAATCTAGTTTTGCGTATTTTCCTATTATTAACATTCTTGTTGGGCAGTGTGAACGGGGCTGACAGCCTGTGGGTTATATCCGCCGGTTCTGGGCGGGGCTGGGGCAGCACAGTGTGTGCACAGCTCAGGTGTCCCCTCCTGTGTCCCCCCAGCTCCTTTGACAGCACGTGGCGCTGCCCCCGGCGCGTCTCCACCGTGGTGTGTGTGCACGAGCCGGGCTGCGAGCCCCCCGACTGCAGCGGGCACGGGCTGTGCCAGGCCGGGCTCTGCCGCTGCTCCGGGGCCTTCTGGACGGGCCCTGCCTGCGACAGCCTGGACTGTGGCCCTGCCAACTGCAGCCTGCACGGCCTCTGCACCCCCTGTGAGTCTGGGACAGGGGCTGTGGGTGCTGCCCCGGGCGCTGGGGATGTCCTGGGCCTGGCTGGGGGTTGGGGCTGCCCTCCCCCTGCCCTGCAGTGGCTGGAGCAGCAGTGGGGATAAGCAGAACATGTTGCCTTCAGGAGCCAGCAGGGCTGGGCTGGGCTCAGGCCTGGGAACTGGGCCTGAAATAAGCCTTGATGTCAAGCTCTGGGCCTCAGTTTCCCTTCCTGCCCCGGAGTTGCTTCAGGTTTTTTTAAGGCAGGGCAGTGTATTATGGTGTGTGGCAGCAGCTGGTCCTGCCCTGTCTCTTTACTGTTCCTTCTTTCCTTGTCTCTCCCACTTCATGATTTTTATCACTGTGCCATTGCCACTTCTTCATAAATTCATTTCAAAGTCAGGGACTGCTGAAATGTCCACCCTCAGCTTCTGCCCCTCTGTGCTGCTCAGTCCTGTTCTCCTCTTCTTGTGCTCTGGTTCAGCTCTCATTCAGGTGTGCACCAGTGCAGTGACTGGGCAGAGCTTGGTGGGTGCAGGGGTGCAGCAGCTGACCTAGAGTTGATCCCAGGGAATCCCCTCAGCAGGGATTCTGCTGCCTTTGGCAGCTGCAGTGGGTGAACCCACCCTGGGTGTGAGTGCAGGGTTCCTCTTCTGGGCATCTCCTGGCAGGGGTAAGGGGGCACCTCGAGAGGCAGAGGCTCCTAATTTTGGGTCCCTGCTGTTTCCAAGTGTTTTTTTGTTGTCACTAATGGCTGTTCCATGTGTTTGCACAGCTGGATGCCTGTGTGACCCCGGCTGGACTGGCAGCAACTGCACGGAAGGTAAACACTCACTGCTACTGCACTCTGCTCCTCACAGCCAGCAGAGGGGACTGGGACCACTTCCCAAGAGGGAGCAGGGAAGGGAGAGGCCAAACACACCCCAAGCTGTGGCTGTGCTGCGGTGTGTCACTGTGTAGTGAGGGCCCTGATGACGTCCCTGCTTGTCTCTGCAGCCTGTGCTCCTGGTTTCTATGGGGAATCTTGCAGCCAGAAGTGCCAGTGCCAGCACGGTGGCTCCTGTGACCCTGTGCACGGAGCCTGTTCCTGCCCCCCTGGGTTCTATGGCACCAGCTGTGAGCATGGTAAGGGCTGCTCTGAAGGGCCACCTGGGCTGGGAGAGGGTTTTGTGTCACTTCTGAGCCACCTCTTGCATGCAAAACAAGAGAGAGGTCTGCCAGGGGGGCTCAGGCCTGAATGTCACAGCTGGAGTGTCACCAGCTGGCTCCCAGCTCTTCCTGTCCTACCCAAGTGGGCTAAAAAGGAAAGCAAGGAGCAGAGAGGAAGGAGGAGTTCCCTTCATCAACAGAAAATTGTGGATTTCTGTTTAGTCTCAGCCCCAAAGCTCCCGAGTGTAGAACAGGATCATCCACTGCTCCAGGGTGTTGCACCAGGCCCTGCCTGTAGCCCAGGCTTCAGGTGATCCAGGTCAGAGCCTGTGGAGTGCTCCAGAGGCTGTTGTGCCATCCCACCTTCCCAGTGTGGCTGTCCCTGTGCCAGTGCTGATGGGGCTGGTGCTGTTCTCCCTTGTGTCACCACTCCAGCTTCTCTGAGGGACTCGGGGCCCTGTGGATCCCAGCAAACAAGTTAATTACAGCAGAGTGTAAACTCCACGTGTGCCTCATTCCATTAGGGATGGTGTTCCAGCCTGGGAATGCTCAAGCAGCTCCATCCCAGAGGAGTTGCCCAGAGAAGCTGTGGCTGCCCCATCCCTGGGAGTGTCCAAGGCCAGGTTGGATGGGGCTTGGAGCAACCTGGGCTACTGGAAGGTGTCCCTGCCCATGGCAGGGGGTGGGACAAGATGAGCTTTAAGGTCTCTCCCAGCCCAGACCATTCTAGGATTCTGTGATCCCTGAAACTTCCCCCTGACACACAAAATGGCAGAGAAACTCCCAGCGTGGTGCTCCCAGGCTGCTGCAGGCTCAGCTGAGCTGGAGGAGCTGCAGCCACAGCCTGGGTGGTTCCAGAGCAAGTGGAGCTTTGGCAATGACCAACCTCTTCATGTCAACTCCCCAGAGTGTCCCCTGGGCTGGTTTGGGCCCAACTGCCAGAGCCAGTGTGTGTGTGAGCACTCGTGTCCCTGCGACCCCCAGACCGGCAGCTGCAACACCACCCACGACGGGGCACTGCAGGAGGAGCTGCTCAGAGGTACCTGCAGGGCCTGGGGGTTGTCAAAAACAGCTGAAAGAACAGCTTTAGTGCATAACATTGGTTTAGTCACCAGCTCTGCTTAAGCTTGCTCTTTTTTCAGTGGAATTTTACACCCTCCTCCCCAACACGGCCTTTCTTCCCTCTTTGTTTTCCAGCTGGACAGTGTGTGGCTTCCCAGAATAAGGAAAGGAGCAAAGAAAGATTCTCTCTGTCAGAGTAAGTGGGTGGTACACACTGTGTGCCTCAGAGGCTGTCACAGAGCACGGGAGGGGCTCAGCCTGGAGAAAAGGAGGCTCAGGGGGGACCTTCTCGCTCTCTGCAACTCCCTGACAGGAGGGGGGAGCCGGGGGGGGTCAAGCTGTGCTCCCAGGGAACAAGGGACAGGACAAGAGGAAACAGCCTCAAGTTGTGCCAGTGGAGATTTGGATATTGGGGAAATTTCTTCATGGAATGGGTGGTGACAGCTGCCCAGAGCAGTCACCATCTCTGGAGAGGGATTTAAAAGCCTGTGGCTGTAACACTTGGGAACATGGGTTAGTGGTGGCCTTGGCAGCACCAGGGGACTTGATTATCTTAGAGGGCTTTTCCAACCTAAAGGATTCCCTGATTTTCTCCTGCCTGAGAGCAGGACCACAAACTTGGGAAGGCAGAGAAGGGAGGACAGTTCTTGACAAATCGTTTGCACCCTGGGAACACGTGACACAGGCCGACATGTTGCCTATGTGGGTTTTTCTTGTCCCCCAGGAGCACGTGGCTGTCCCTGAGCTGTGGCCTGGCCCTGCTGCTGGCACTCAGTGCCCTGGGGAACGTGGGGCTGGTGCTGAGGGCGCGGTCGGAGCGGCAGCGCGGGGACTATCGGTACCACCCCCTGAGGGACATCAACGGGGAGGCCACACACCCCCCCAGTGCTGCTGCCTGGGAGCCAGAGGACACTCGGGAGCCAGAGGACACTCAGGACTCACTTTAGAGTGCCGGATGGGAAGAGAGGAGGTGTTTCACTGTGCCCCCTGCACAGCCCCCCAGCACTGAGCGGGACAGGGTCACTGTGCCTGAGGTGACCCAGCTCAGCCACGGCTCCCTCTCCTCTGCTGCCCCAGCCCCAGCCCCCAGGGCTGCATCCCCAGTGGCCGTGATGGGATGCAGGGCACTGGGTAAGGGAATCCCACAGTGGCAGCAGGAAAGGATATGGGCTGGTTCCTTCCTAACCCTGAGGGACACGGGTGAGCAGTGCCAGCCACAGGCACCTCAGGAAGGTCCCTGCCCACCTGGGCAGTGCTGAGTGTTTTTAAGACTCAGCAAGGTAAACTGCCTCTAGCAGAAAACTGGGTTAAGGAAGCTGGTGCCTAAGGGTGTTAAGAGTCTATGTCTGCCCTTCCCTGGTGAGCTCAGATTTTAATCAGAAAAGTGACAAAACATTTTAAAATGCTGAAGCAGGTGCAGCACCCAGTGAAACCAGAGCCCTCCTCCTGGCCCAGAAGCGTGTGATGGGTGCTGCATTTTGGGGAGGCTCTTGCAGCTCAGCAACAGGAAAAGCCTTGTCAGGTCACAAGTTCCATTGGTGCATCTCTTGTAGCCCCAGCAGCTGATGGGCTCTGGGGGCTCAGGGACTGTCACCAGCCAGGGAAGGGGACAGACAGGGACAGCCTGGCATGGCCGGCAGGACATGGCCTGGGCTGCTCTGCCCCAGCTGGACTCTCCTCAGAGGGACCACAACCAGCAAGTTCTTCAAGCCCTCCCAGATCCCAAACACCTCCTCTGGAAATCCAGAACCCCTCCTTGCACAATTAAACTGAAACAGTGTTAGAGTTTGCTTCCACTGAGGGAAAGCCAGCCTTTAACGTGCCCCTTGGATGCTGCAGAGGGGTTAGAGCCTGTCTGAGCCCCAACACTCACAGTTTTATGCACTCACTCCCTTTTTACCTCTCCATGTAAAGGATGTGTAATTTCTCTGCCACTGTTGGCATCAGATCAGCCTGTAACCAGAAGACTCTATTTTTCTATGATTTACAGAAGATTATTTGAAAAGGAATAAAGTCTATTAGTGCTACCTGCCTGAAACTCAGATTCCTGATGTCCAGCTGCAGAAGGAGCCGTGATCCTTTCCCAGTTAACCTCAGCCTCCCATTGGAACCCCGGGGCCTTTTATTTTAAATAACAGCCACACTGCAGGATGTGCTGTCCCAGCCCACTCTGGGCTAGGAAACTAAACAAAAATGCTGGTTCTGCAGGGAAAAAGTGACCACTTTAGTTCAAGAGCAGGAATAAGTGACCACAAGCCAACCTTACCTCTTGCTTCTGGGGGAAAGAGCAGCACCCAGGCTTAAATTTTCGTTTTCCCCCAGTCTGAACAATTGCATCAAACAATTCCACATGTTCTTAGAGATGCTGTTTTATTTCCAACATACCCAAAGGTACAGCTCTACTGGGACCCACAGACAGTCACTGAAGTACATTTGTTGTCAGGGAACACGTTACAGGGCCCTGCAGTTTGCAGAGGGCTCTTAAAGGAGGTTTGGCTGAGAAAAATGAGGATTTCAGTAAATAAAACCAAAGCCAGCTGCAAGGGAGAGAAAGTAAGTAAAATAATTAATGCCCATTTAACTTACACATGTCACTAAGAACTTGGAAGTGGGTGTGGGTGTCACTAAAAGCCTGTGCATGTGACACAATTCCAATTTTGCCTTCCAAGAGAGAAATAATCGGGTGTGAGGATCGTGACAAAGGTGTTGGAGGAATATTAAAGCTGAATCCATGCAGGAATCTTTGAGAAGTGCTGTCAGTTAAGAGTCTAATAGCTGCTCCTTGCATTAATTGCTCACAGTATAAACATCTGGGATATGAAAGCAGTGTGTGCCTTTCGAAAGGAGGGATTCCCTGCCTGGAGCTCGGCTGGCCTGGCCCTCAGCACTTCCCACCCCAGCAGGGTGGACAGCTGGGCTCAGCACTTCCCACCGGGAATTCCAAGCTCAGGAAGCGGTACAGATTTGGGACGAGCGGATTATGACTTTTTTCAAACCAAACTGGGATTAGAAATTCTTATTCCAAGTTGGTTTTTCCCTGTTCCTGAAAGGGAACTGGTTGGACGCGGCAGCAAACGCTCCCAGCGTCACTCCGGGCTCCCTCACCTGGGCACAGCTGGGAATTCCCTCTCCCAAGAGCAGTGAGTGAGTCCAGGAGCTGAGGAGCTAGAGAGGAGCTCTGGTGCCTCCCTGCTGACGAGAGCCCTCGGTGCCGGGTCACAGCTCTCCCGTGCCCCGGGAAGCGCCGGAGCCGCCCCTGGAGCCCCGGAGGCTCCTCTGCTGCAGCCCTTTTCACACCTGAGAGGCAGCGAAGGTTCAGTCAGAATGGCCCAGGGCTGCAGTCCAGCCGTGCCCTGAACGATCCAACATCCATCCTCGTGCTCCATGTCTGCCTTTCCCAGTCGTGCTGGGACAGACACCAGGAAAAGGGGCAAACCTGGAGGAATCACTGAGAACAAAAGGGTTCACCTCTGGCCATATTTAACTGTGAACTATGGCCCAGCCCTCTGCACCCCAGCACAGGAAACACGGCAACAGCTCTGAGGTAGGTGTTGTGTTTGCATATGGAACATCTGAAAGGGAGGCCCCGATTTACTGGGGGCTGTTTTTTAATTACCTGAACACGGCCCAAGCTCACTGGCTTTGCTGCTGGGGAGGGAGCAGGGAGGGCCTTGCTGCATCTCCAATCAGCACCCAAACCAGGCTGTTTCCCAAGGTTTTGCCTTAGGAGAGGATCCAGAGGATCCAGAACTCCTCCCAGCCTCAACTCACAGGCAGCTGCTGTGAAGAAAACTGTGATTTTCTAAAGCACACTGATGTCGTTTGAGGGGAAAAAGGTGATGCAGAAGAATTCCATCTCTGGCATTGGCAGTTCACAAGGTCAGGTTTAAAAAGCACAGCACAGCACCAGCCACAACATCCAGGCTGTTGCTCCCTTTCTCCTGTCAACGTTCAGGAAAAAAATACTGGATCATTCAAATTGGTTTCAAAGTAAATGGGTAGGTGGGATAACCCAGGCAGCTTTGCCAAGGGAGAGGTCACAAGCTGCTTCCCAAACACACCTGTGCCGTGATCTCATGGACAGAGAAGCAGCACTGACAAGGAACACGAGGAAAAACTAGGATTGGGATGTCCCTGGAGCCAGGAAGACTCCGTGGGACCAGCCCTTTGGGCCTCCCTGGCTCCTCCAGAGACCTGCCAGAGGTGCCAAGTTCCAGGTGCCTCACTGACAAGAGTTAAACACCCAAAACTTGTAGTGTGGGGAGAAAACAGCACATCCCACATTTCAAAATAAAATTTAAAAATATCCCAGTGCAAAGGAAGAGATTCTTAACCAGAGGAAACCACAGGAAACAAGAACGTTGCCGCCGTGGGATGTGAGCAACAAGTAAAAACTGAGCCCCAAGAAGGTGAAATCCTGAACCAGCACAGGGAGGATGGGCTGGGTTTGCTCCTGGGGCTTTGGGAGTTGGTTTAAACTCTATTTCTAGATCAGAATGAATTATGGATAAAGGATTTTCCATGAGGGATACACACATGCACTTTTACTGTCAAAACTCCTGATTTTCCAGAGGAAAGGTGATACTTGTCCCACTCTCTCAGACTCCATTTATGCTGAAATGCTGGAGACAGAAGTTTCACTTGTGTGGGACAAATGCTAAAAGTCCACGGGACAACTGGGGAATCCTTGGAAATCAGAACTTCCCTGAGCCCTGCAAGGTGGGAGAGTGATTCCCTTGGCTCCAATCCTTTAAAAAAAAAAAAAATCACCAAACAACTCAGAAACAAATCAAGTTCTCACCTCCCATTGTTCGGAATATTTGGGTTCCTTTGGCAGCACCTGGTGCTTCCAACCCAGGAATTAAACCAGCAGGGTGGGAAGGAAGGACTGCCCAGATTCCATCAGTGTGAACAAGAACTTGGGGAGTATTTGATGCCTGTTCTCATCTTGTTGCCACGGGGACAAGAACAGGGATAACTTCGCTCCCCAGCCCGACCACACGAACCCCCAGTGGAGACGAGGGACAAACACGGGATTTTTGGTGTGCAGGAAAACAGTGAATCTTCATGACAACTCCTGAACTCAATCCTGGCTTCTTAATCCTAAGAAACAGTCCAAAAAGCACTGGAGTCTCCCTTTCCCTTGCAGGGAAGGTGACACAGCCCTCACCCCAGTGTTCTGCACGGTGCAGCCCTTTTTGCAAGAACATCCAGTGATCACAAACATTGGGATTTAAGTAGAAAGACTTCTTGGGATTGAAGACAACCAGTTATTCCTTTCTAAAATCAAAGTTCATCCCATTAAAAAAGGTGGCTGGATTTAATAAATAGTCATTTCTGACATTATAAATAAGTTAAAAATTAATTTAAAATAAGCTAGCATTGAATAAATAGGCTTCAGTAAGTGCTTACATACATACAGGCCTCTTTGAAAGGTTTCAAGTGAGCTCATGTTTTAAAGAAGCAAGTTCTGCAGGAACTGTAAGCAAGTTACTGCCAGAAAATCTTGTGCCTTCAGGAAATCAAATATTGCTTTGCTTAGCCCTTTAGAATTGGATTCAGTTCCCATCCACTCAGGGATGGGACAGACCTACTCATTATTGCTGTAAACCTGAGGAGAAAGAACAATAGTTTACCTTTAGGAAGATGCCACTTGCTGGAGGCAGATTCCCTGCCTGGACTTTCCAGAAAACTGGTTTGACTTTGTCTCAGCAGGGTTACAAAAATCCACCACATTTCCCAGTAACATCCTGCCAGACCAGGAGAGGTTTTTGGTTCGACCTGGAAGTGATTTCTGAACTCTCCTACCTGTACCAAGGTGTCCTTCCAAGGCCCGGCCCCTGGAATGCCCAACTCGAGTGTCTGGTGGAGCCCTGTGGGCACCCAGGAAACTCCAGGAGTTTTGCTACCCAGGAATAACCAAAAGGTCCAACAGGTAAGGCAACATCAGCCTCCTCTGCCACACATGGGAAGGACCGATGGGAGGAGCCCTTTGGAGCGATCCCTGCCAACTGACATCCAGCCAAAATCCATCCAAGAGACCCCTGAGGAGCAGCAGCTGCTCCAGAACTCCAAACCCACCATTGGAATTCCAGGTCTTGTGGTTTAAGCAGCTCCCAGAGGCCTCTCTGTGTCCAAATGGCTGCGACACAACTGCCCCAAGGCTCAGCCCTGGAGCTCTTTGGTTTGGGGCTCAGAGCAGCTCTGGGGGCAGGAAGGCCCAGGAGGTCTTTCCCTGCAGCCTTGGCTCTGCTATCTGGAAAGGTGGGAGCTGCTCTGGGACTGGCTGGAAGATGTCGTGACTCCACTCAGCTGGGAAAAGCCGCTGTTGCAAGATTCCAGGCTCGACATGGATCCCCTGGGATGGGACAAAGCAGATGGGCTGTTAGGAAGGCAGCAATTAATGGAGAACTATTCCCCTGACAGATCAGTTTACCCTCTATAGTGCTTGCACAAGTGCTTTTTGTCCCATCATTTTCCACTTGCTCTCTAAGAATCTCCGTGTCATCATGAAAAATTCATTAGAGATATTTTTTCCCAGTTACAGATATTATTCCTTGTCCCTGGCTGTTGTTCTGGGGAAGGGGACAGAGCTGGAGCCTCTGCAGGGCTGTTTTTGCTGCCCCTGAGCAGAAAGGAAAACTCCAGTGCATCCCAAATGCAGCAGCCACTGTGAGCCCAAGGACTGCAGGCTGCTGAACACCAGAGTCCCAACTCCAGAGTGCCCAGCCATTGTTGCCAGCTCCTGCCAAAAGCAGGCTGGGCTCAGTTAATGCAGGAAGAGCACCAAGGAACATGTTTGCATGACTGGAGGGAGGTGTTTGCTGCTGCTCTGACTCCACAGGACCTGGCCAGGTCACCACCTGCAAGTCTGTTCTGCCCAACACTTCCTCCAGCTCCAGGGAAAGGTCAAGGACTCGCAAAGAATTCAGATTAACAGGGGACTGGGAAGTGCTTTCAGCACTAAAGGAGGAGGCCAAGCACAGTGTCCCAAGGCTGACTGTTCACCTGCTCAGAAGTGCTCTCTGAGTCACTGCA